AAAAGCAGATACATCACCTTGCCGACAAAGGTCTGCATAGTCAAAGCTATGGTTTTTCCAGTCGTGATGTATGGAAGTGAGAGCTGGACCATAAAGAAAGCTCACTGCCGAAGAATTGATGTTTTGAATTGTGGTGCTGGAGGAAACTCTTGAGAGTCCCCTGGACTGCAAGGAGAGCAAACCTATCCATTCTAAAGGAAATCAACCCTGAGTGCTCACTGGAAGGACAGATCCTGAAGCTGAGGCTCCAATACTTTGGCCATCTCATGAGAGGAGAAGACTCCCTGGAAAAGACCCTGGTGTTGGGAAAGTGTGAAGGCAAGAGGAGAAGGAGACAACAGAGGACGAGATGGTTGGACAGTTTCATCAAAGCTACCAACATGATTGTTCTGGGTTTTTCGGGAAGGTTTTGTTCAACCTTCAGAACATGGCCAAAGAGCCCGAAAAACCCAGAACAACCATTAGATCCCGGCCGTGAAAGCCTTTGCGAATATACTACCAACATGAATTTGAGCAAACTCCAGGAAGCAGTGGAATATAGTAAGGCCTGGTGTGCCACAGAGTCACAAAGAGTCAGACACGACTTAACGACTGAACAACAACAACAAATAATACAGATTGCACAGTGGACTACCTAAACATTTTGCAAATAAAACATACTCAATTTTTATAAATTTCTTATTTGTCCTTACCGGTAAGCACGAACAACTTGGCCATCTTTGTCTCTGTACTGACCTAACAGTGTTTCTCTCTTCCTTTTATACTGCACACTTGCTCTTCTACCTTTTCACTGCCTTATCATCAAAGGCACCTGACATTTAATATAAAATTAAAAGCTATAATTTCCCATATGGGTACACAACAATAGCACCATGAAAAACCTAAACTTAAGAAAACATTCTTATCAATTCTTGTATTTTTCCAGTGCAGTTAAACTCCTGGTAGAAGAGATTACAGTGCATTTAATCTATTATCTATACAGATTACAATGGAGCAGTAATTTTAAATGAGTAGTTAGATATACAGGTCAGGTCTTATATATTTGCTGTACCAATTCACGTTTTGATCATATTTATAGATGGAGGATAAATACAGTTATGTAACCTGTTTATCTATGGAGCAGAGTTTTCATTACTTGCCACACTAACCTGTCCTTTCTCAAAAATAGAAGCACATCAGAAGAATGGGTAAGGGAGATATCGTATTTTTCCATGTATAGAACAACACTTTCCCCTTAAATAATTTGGGAAAAATTGAGGGTTGTTTTATACATGGAAGACAGTTCTTTACCACTGCCTTTTGTGAAGGCACAGGGCTTAGCAAAAAGGAAGGGGAGGCATTGCTCCCTTTCTTTTTGGTAAGTTCCGGTGCCTTCTCAAAAGGCAAGGGCGCACGCATGGGGCTTAGCAAAAAGGAAGGGAAGTGGTTGCTCCCTTCCCTTTTGCTAAGCTCCATGCCTTCTCAAAAGACAAGGAAAAGTGGCAGTCACTTTGACAGCCATTTGCCTTGCCTTTTGCCAAGGCACAGGGCTTAGCAAAAAGGGAGGCCTTTGATCCCTGCTTTTTCTAATTTGGGGTTAGAAAAGGGGTGTCATCTCATACATTGGGTTGCCTCATGAACAGAAAAATATGGTATTCTCCTCTACAACATTCTTTACAAATTCATTGAGAGCAGAACCTGGTAGAAATACATATATGCTAGACTCACAGTCAGAAATGTCTACTTTCTCTGATCAATTCCCAGAGGGACATTGTCTGCCTCTCTGGCCTAAGATTTACAAATTCTGCTTCATGGCAATCAGTCCTCAGTTATTATTAGGCTTCATCTTCTCCCAAATAAAGAACTAACTTTGTCATCTGTAGACAGTAATTCCTCCATTTCATGCAGTACTCCCTTAAATAAGACACCAGAGTCAGTCAGAAGGGATGTGAATGTGAAGTTATTTAGAACCTTTCAGTCATGGCTAAATATATCAATTACTTGTTGAAATGGTTGTGTTTCAAGATCTCTACAAGTGAAGAAAGAATTAATATTTTCTAAAAGATTTCACAAGTTTACAAACACATTCCAAAGGCAGCTCCATGAAGAACATGTTACAAAAAACCAGCCGGGATGTAACTAAGGCATGTTGTCATTGTGGCCAAATTAGACCTCTCCAGGAATGGATGCACCTGGGGTACCAGTTTTAACTGTGCAAATACACTCATTGCTAAAACCTGGGTATATGGACTGAGAGATGAATCCAGGAGTGCACTGAAGCTGCACAACTGTGTTTTCAGAGGGAGTGTAACCCTATCCAGCACAGACTGTATCCCTCTTCCTTGATCTATCTTTTGACTGATCAGGAGCACCTACATGTCTTGTCTAGATTAAATTTATTTATTTATTGTATTTTTACCCCGCCCCTCTAGACGGGGTAAAAATTCCATTTATTCATCCTCATGCAGACCATTACTGACACCAGACACTGATTTGGAACTGAAACAACTTCCTCAGACTTTGATGGAAAGGATAGAGTGGGATGTCTTCCACGTACTGGTGACACTGAACCCCAAAATTCCAGACAACCTCTCCCAGCAGTTTCATATAGTTATTAAATAGCATAGGGGACAAAGCAGAACCCTGAGGGACCCTGCCCCCAGGCCAACAACCAGGGTGTCAATCAGGAGTCCACTAGCAGCATCTTCTGAGTTCTCCCCTCCAAGAAGGATCGGAGCCACTGCAAAACAGTTCTTCCAAGGCCCACCCCGAGAGAAGGCCCAGAAAGATACCATAGCTGATGGTATCTTAAGCTGCCAAGCGGTCAAGCAAAACCAACAGGAACGCACTTCCCTTGTCCAGTTCACAGCATAAGTCCTTCACTAAGGCAACCAAAGCAATCTCCATCCCATAACCAGGCCTTCTCTCGGGGTGGGCCTTGGAGGGACTGTTTTACAGATCTGGCCTGAAGCCAGATTGAAAAGGATCTTGATAATCCATCTCATCCAGGAATCCCTGGAACTGAGAAGCCATGACTTGCTCCACCACCATCTCCAAGAGTGGAATATTAGAGACTGGTCAATAATTATCCAGTATTGTGGGATCCAAAGAGGGGCTTTTTCAGCAATGATCTTACTATTGCCTTCTTTCAGTATGCTGGGATCCTACCCTGTTGCAAGAAGGCATTCACCATTCCTACCCTCTCAACCAGTCCCTTTCTGGAAGCTGTTATAAGCCAGAAAGGACAAAGGTCCAAAAGACATGTGGTAACCTTCACCTCTCCAAGGGTCTTGACCACATCGTGAGGCTGCAAAAGCTGAAATCTTTACATTAACCTATAGCAAGCAGGGACTGTAGTTACAGCCACAGGACTTGTATCAACTACAGCATCCAAGTCAGAGCAGATGCATGCAATTTTGCCTAATTTTCAGTTAGAAGCAATACATTTCCCATATGGGTACACAACAATAGCACCATGAAAAACCTAAACTTAAGAAAACATTCTTATCAATTCTTGTATTTTTCCAGTGCAGTTAAAGTCCTGGTAGAAGAGATTACATTAACAGATTGCAATGGAGCAATCATTTTAATTGAGTGGTTAGATATACAGGTCAGGCCTATATATTTGTTGTACCAATTCACATTTTGATCATATAGAGGGAGGACAAATACTTTGTTACATAACCTGTTTATCTATGGTCCAGAGTTTCCATTACTGGCCACACTAACCTGTCCTTTCTCAAAAAAGAGAAGCGTATCAGAAGAATAGGCAGAGGACATATTCTCCTTTTCAACATTCTTTGCAAATTCACCGAGAGCAGAACCTGGTAGAAATGTATGTACAATATGCTAGACTCACAGTCAGAAATGTGTATGTTCAATATGCTAGACTCACAGTCAGAAATGTCTACTTTCTCTGATCAATTCCCAGAGGGACATTGTCTGCCTCTCTGGCCTAGGATTTACAAATTCTGCTTCATGGCAATCAGTCCTCAGTTATTATTAGGCTTCATCTTCTCCCAAATAAAGGACTAATTTTGTCACCTGTGGATAGTAATTCCTCCATTTCTTATAGTATCCCCTTAAATAAGATGCCAGAATCAGTCAAAAGAGTTATGTCTGTGAAGTTATTGTTTAGACTCCCTTCAGCTATGGCAAAATACATCAATTACTTGTTGAAATGGTTGTGTTTCAGGATATCTACAACTGCAGAAAAAATTAATATTTTTCAAAAGAGACCACAAGTAACTTGTTGAAATGGTTGTGTTTCAGGATGTCTACAACTGAAGAAAGAATTAATATTTTTCAAAAGAGACCACAAGTCTTTATTCTGTCATCTGTGTTAACTCAGTTTCAGGATGGAATCATAAGATACACATGCCTAGGGCCAGCACCACCTCTGGCAGTAGATTTTAGGTGTTAAGGAGGAGCAGTAAACTATTATTTAATTATAATTCTTTTTTCCCCTATGCCTTTTTTTTACTGTGAGGGGAGATAGTCTATAGAATTTGTGGCATAGGGTCCCAAAGTAACTTGACTAGCCTTTGGAGTACTGTGTAATTTGAACTGAGAAGAATTTTTTATACTGTGTCTGAAGTCACAAAATGTCTTAGGTTGGCTAAGGGTTCATCATTGCTAGACTGGTTTATCTTCTAAAGATGCAACATATAATACTCATATTTCAGTTATTATCACCTTTAGTGAAAGTCAGGAATAGCTACATATATTGGCTTGGCTAACAATTACTATGGTATGGGATCTCAGACTGGACTGTGATTTGTTCCTTTATTAAGTCACTAATAGAGTAGGTATGTTTGAATCAATGGAAGTTGTAGAGGAATAGACTCACCAAATAACTACTTTTCAGTGGGCCTAATGTGACTTACAATACTAAGTAACAGGATTTCAGCCAATGTGTCTACATTTCTGAGCAACTGAGCCTTTAGCTTGCACAAGGACAGACCAATCCAACTGGAGACAGCAGCCAAGAAATCAGAAAAGGACTGAGATTTGGTGGAAGGACAACTGTGAAGGAACTAGGAAGGACCTTTCGTGATAGGAATGTGTCACTGGAAACAAAGACCAAGGTTATCCACACTAAGTATTACTTACAGTTTTGAAAGCTGGACAATTGAAAAGGCTGAGAGGGAAAAATGACTCATTTGAAATGTGATGCTGGAGGAGAGCTTTGCAGACACCATGGACAGAAAATCAAACAAGAGGAAGATTGACCATGAAGTGGATTGACTCAATAAATGTAAGATCTGAGCAGAATCTTTTGGATGGCAATCATTCATAGTTGTCAGCATGATTTGGAAATGGCCTTAACACATAACAACAAAGTCTAATTTTAATTCTACTTTTCATAATTTTTATTTTACTTCTAATATTTTTAATTCTAATTCTTCTCCTCATGCGCCTGGTCCTGGTCCTGCTGCTTCTCTTTTGTTTTCCTGTGCAGTGGTGGAGAGAGCTGTTCTACTTGCACTGTACTTTAGCTAAGGAGAGTGCTTACTTAGGCGTTCCAAAGTTGGAAAAGCAGCTACACATTTAATGCTAAGCAGCATAACATAGTGACTGTAAGGATGTCAGCAGGTACCATCCTGCAATTCTCATTGTTCCTCCCTCACATATGGGTTCTGACTCGTTTGCTTGTTATTTCTTTCCCTTTTCAAACTCATTGAGGACAGGTTGCCTATACGGACTTCCAAGAGAGATGATGGAATCAGAAGCAGCTCTCCAGAAACAAAGAGACTATCTGTATGAGGACTGTCAATATTGCCAGAAGTGGAATTAAAACCAGCACTCCTGGATTGAGCTGCTCTCATTTTGAGGCCTGTAGTAGACATCTAGCCATGATTTTTGGAACTCTTATGTTTTTTCTGCACCTTCCACAGAGAAGTGGTGTCCAGCCAAAAGCAAGTGATGCGTGTGTGTGTAATGGTCTGATTGAAGTATCATTTACCCTTG